AGGGGCAATTTTGACCCTTTGCCTAAAATAAATAGTAAAATTACCTCTAATGAGGAACTGAGAAGGAGCAAAAGGCCTAGTAAAGAATATTTTTCTTATGGAAATAATCTTCAAACTTTTCTTGTCGATAATGAACCATCAAATTATTTTGAAGCTATAGCTTCTTCAGAAGCTAATTATTGGAAAGAGGCAATAAAAATTGAAATTGATTCTATTATAAAAAAATAATACATGAATTTTAACTGATTTACCTTCTGGTGCAAAGCCTATTGGTTGTAAATGGATTTTCAAAAGGAAATTTAATCCTGATGGATCTTTAGATAAATATAAAGCTCGGGGATTTTCTCAAAAACAAAATATAGATTATTTTGATACATTTGCACCAGTGACTATAATTTCTTTTATTCGAGTTTTAATTGCCTTTGCTTCAATCCTTAAGCTTTTTATCCATCAAATAGATGTCGAAACAACTTTTTTAAATGGTGATTTAGAAGAAAAAATTTATATAGTTCAACCTGAAGGTTGTGTCATTACTGGACAAGAAAATAAAGTTTGTAAATTAATTAAACCTCTTTATGGCCTTAAACAAGCTCCTAAGTAGTGGTATGAGAAATTTGAACAAGTCTTACTGAGAGACTGTTTTACTTCAGTTGAGGTGGATAAATATGTTTATACTAAAGTGGTAGACAATGAATATGTGATAATATGTATGTATGTTGATGGCATGCTTATATCTGGAACAAGTTTAAATATTGTGCAAAGTACTAAATTATTTCTATCTGCTAATTTTGATATGAAAGATCTGGGTGAAGTAAATACAATATTGGGAATTAACGTTATAAGGAGTGAAGATGAAATAATGTTGTCACAAGAACATTATGTTGAGAGACTTCTTAAGAAATTTGAATATTTTAATGTCACATATGTGAGCACTGCTTTTGATGCTAACTCTCAGTTGAAAAGGAATAATGGTGACCCAGTTGCTCAGATTATTGGGAGTCTGATGCTTTTAATAAATTTTACAAGGCCTGATATAGCCTATGCGGTGTGTAGAATGAGTAGATATACTCATAATCTCAAGAGAGAGATTGGCCTGCATTAGATAGACTAATGAAATATTTGAGAGGAACCATGAATTATGGTATCCTATATAGTGGATTTCCTTCTACCTTAGAAGGGTACAATGATGCAAACTGGATCTCTGATTCAGATGAGGCAAAATCTACTAGTGGTTATGTATTCACCCTTGGTGGTGGTGCAATATCGTGAAAATCAGCCAAACAACCGATCATTGCTAGATCGACTATGGAATCAGAGTTTGTAGCTCTGGAGTTAGCTGGTTCTAAGGCTGAGTGGCTAAGAAACTTCTTAGCTAATATCCCTTTAATAAAGGATGTATTGCCTCCTGTGTCTATGCATTGTGATTGTCAAGCAGCAATAGCTATTGCAAAGAATAAATCTTATAATTGTAAAAGTAGACACATGAAATTGAGACACGATGTCATAAAACATCTGTTGGGCATTGACTATGTAAAGTCAGAGATAAATTTGGCCGATCCTCTGACTAAACATGTGGGGAGAAAATTAATTCTTCAAACCTCAAAAGAGATGGGGTTAAGGCCGACATGTTGTCAATAAAGATGGTAACCCAACCTATGTGATTGGAGATACCATGAAATAGGTTCATATGGGTAATAACAAGTCGATATTAGCACTGATGCGCTAAAAGAGAGTGCTTGACTGCTACTAATTGAGAGGCTGAGTTATAAATCTTAATGAAATTCATAGTTCTTATGGATGGTGTATTTAAAAGCAGTATACACTTGATGAATTCACCTATATGAGAGTGGAGTGGGCCGCTCCTATGAGATTTTGGCCTAGTCTCTAGATCTCTCATGAATAACCAGGCACACGCATGGCCTATTGGGCGCAAAACCGCGTTGAACAGCAAAATTACCGGGGGTCGAAATATGATTGATAAAATCTCTGGCTTACAATAAGAATTATTGGTTCACAAAATATTATATTTTACCAGTAATTCTGTGAGTTAAATTTATTGATCTAAGTTTGGTTCATAGTCCAGACGACACCAAACCTATTACATTTGGACCATACAAATCCAACAAAGTCTTATTATTCTATCTTTTTTATTTTGAAAATATGTGGAAATTGTGGCAGTGATTTCAAAATAAATGAGTCCAAGTGTTATGCCTTTTCATGGACAAGTGTTAAAGCACTTGTAAGATTATCATTATTATTCTTGCCTATATATAGCCACAATCTACCCATCCGAATCATTATCAACAAAAGAAAGAAAATTATCTTCTCCTTTGTAGTTCAATCATTTCCTACCTACATAGCCATTATCATAGCAATTATTAAGCTTTCTTCTATAGTCCCATTTCGGCCAAATTCTCATTCACAAGTTATTTCTGTTACAGTTTTCCAACTTGCTGGATTTGTTATTAATATTTTGCTGATTCATGTATCCTCTAGATAAATAGAGATTTGTTTAATCCTGGGGAAATATTTCACACTGCTGAAATAGTTTCTTAGGACAGTGCCTAGCACGACTCAAGTCAATCCGTGTGTTTCCGCTTACAAATAATATTATTGCAGTATTATTATCGTTATTTCCGGTGTCATTTCCCTACAAATACAACATGAACAAAGTACACCCGTAAGTTTTTTCGGACGGAACTGAAGAACAAGGACGAATCCAAGTTCTTTAAGTCTGATGGGTTCTATGATTTGGGTCTTGAAGATATAAAGTTAGTGTTCATTAGTGTTTGAGAAATTAAAAATTAAAAATTGTGGTTGAATATAGTCATTGGTTGTGAAGAACCGAGTTTGACGAATTGAGGCAAAATGCAAAATCCTTCAAGCTTCACAGATTCAGTCAGGAATAGTGGCGCTCCGTGAGATCTGCAAGTACTAGAAATCGACTAAGGTTTTGATGCGTAAGCTACCGTTCCAGCGATTGGTTCGTGACATAGCTCAGGACTTCAAGACTGATCTCCGCTTTCAGAGTTTGACTATGGAGTCTCCGCTTTCAGAGTTTGACTATGGCGGTGCTTCAAAGAGCTTCTGATGATTTTGATGTTGAAATAAAAAAAGGGTGAAATTAATTTTAAGTGAAGAATTTCGACTCGAGTTTATGAGTTAAAAAGTTTTGAAGGATCGGGTTTTTAATTGGATTTGGATTTTTACTTCTTAGCGTTCCAGGTGTCTCAGCTGTTAGACCCAATGGCTCTTTTGATCTAAAGTATAACGGTAAGGATAATTTTAAATGGATAGTATAACAGAAGGTAGATTTAAATAATTTTCGATAGTAGAAGGATATATTTGACCCTTTTTCGAATAATATCAGTATACTAACTATAGAAAAACATAACAACAGAATTAACAAAAAAATTTTAAAAAATTAATAAGGCATAATAATTTACAGACCTGCAAGTAGTTGGTTGACTCTCAATAGTTGGGTTGAAAATCATGGATTGTGATTTTACAATTCTTTTCATTATTTTTTTTAATATAGTAAATATATCACGTGATTCTCCATAAAATGACATATAATTTTTAGTATTAGGAGTCACTTAAAACCTGCAGCTACATACACACAACCTTCCCTGATCTTATCATGATGCCTCTTAATCTTATTCTTACGAATGATTGCGTGCATCAAATTCTTCTGTTGGAATAAAATTGACAACAAATTCACATAAAAGTTTCACACAACCGAAATATAATATAATGAATAAGACAAATGAAAACACAAACACCGAGAGAATCAACAAAAAGAATCAAAATAAATCATGGAACAACTGAATATAGCAAGATCAATATAAAATAAGAACACATACATCCTGATGAATAGGAACCATGTCGAGGCTAATAACTTCATTGTTGTTCTTCAAATCGACTGACTACCAAATACGTCATATCCTAGTTCTTATGAACCAGTATTCCCTATAAGTATTGAGGTCATCAAGCGACGACGCAACTGCCATTTCCTCAAGAGGCCGTTTAGACAAATACAATTAGTTGTAACTATTTAATTTTCTACAAAATAAATTTACATGAATAGTTCATTGATACTTTATATAGACGATGCAAGGAGACAACAAGGAATAATAATTTTATGTATTTAGCACAACAATATAAAAGTAATTAAGGAGTACAGGGAACTCAAAAGATTATTACGCTAGTAAAGATGAAAAGCTTTGCAAGAATAGAATAACGCAAGCTATTAAACAATCAAGAATGCATCTGAACAACCAACATACTGAATCTAAACAATATTAGCATTCAAATTCAAAGCACGATATCACCAAATGCTGCAATACAATATTAAATATGCATTAACAATTCGGTATAACAAATCAAACCTTTAGCTCAGGAAAAAAATATCAAGCGTTAAACGAGTAGACAATCAACATGCTAAATTGCAATTACAATCAAAAATAATTTAGGATACCTCTAAAGTCGATTTATCTTTATTGTGAAGTAGGTTTCAAAATCGAGTTGATGTCTCAATTATGCGCCACATACACGCCGATATATTGACTTTATATTATATATAAATAAACGTATTTGTTGAGATTGACAAGGGAGGCGGGGACGGTAAGGGTGGATAGAGACAGGTGAAAAGAGAAAATAAAAAAATAAAAAATCTAAATTGAATTTTAAAATAGGAGGATTAAAATTTCCAAAAAGAGCCAAAATTACTCTTCAATTGTGTTAATTGATCTAATTAGATAATGATTAGGGTTTAAGATTCACTTGTTAAAAAATAAGGGTAGAAATGGTCTAAAATTTAGAGGGCGGGGACTTAATTGGTACCAAAATTTAATGGAGGGTAAAAGTGGTATATTTCGAATAGTTTAAGGGTATTTTGGCTCTTTACTGATTCTTTACGATCTAGCCCCCCAAGTCTATTCTGCCCCTGATATATCGTTTTACTATTTTATCTACAACTTGGTTTATCTGTAATTTTATTGAAGTCTGAACCTAAACTTTATCAATTCCAGGCTTTCCGAACAATTCCGCCGCCTCCAATCATACAGATTTGTACCTTATTTCTGCTCCGTCGGTACGTTAATCTGAGGCTGTTGGTCTTATTGCGATCTCCTGTATGATCTCTGCGCTGCATAATTTTTCTTGCTGAAGGAAGAAAAACGACAGAAAGATTCAAAATTTTCTGTTGTAAGTCTGCTGATGCTCTCTCGCTCTCTCTTTCTCCTTGATTTTTTTAATGTTTTTGCTTCTGCTGTTTTTTCTTTTTTAATCCAAAATCAAGATGGGTCGAGTAAGGTTTTTTGGGATTAGGGCTCATAGGAGGTAAGACGGATTATAGAATTTATGGGTATTGGAAAACCTGACGGTTCAGACTTCAGATGGTGGCGTTTAGAACGTTTTACTGAGTTTCCTGTATACTAAAATAGAAAGAAGTTGGTTCCTGGAAAAGGTTCAACATAGAAATTAGGACTAGTGTTTTAAGTAGATGCAGTTACTCAGATACGTGTCCTACCTGTGCTGATAGGAGGTGACAGGTCACCGACGGGATAATTGAGGTGCACCGTGCACACAAGCTGGCTCGAGCATCACTATCCTAAAAAAAGAGAGAATTAGGATTAGTGCTGAGCTATACACCTACCGGTGGCGAAGCCTAAAATTTACACAAGAGTGTTCAAACTTGAAATTCCCTAACAAAGGGTGTTCAATATATGTTATACATTTCTAAAACCTAATATTATACCTATATATACAATGTAATTTTCGATAAAGGGTGGTCAATTGACCACCCTTAGCCCAACATAGCTTCGCCCATGACACCTAGCCCTAACTTATCTCGGAATGATATAGAGAGCTGCATATCAGGCTTTCAGAGTAGTAAAGTCCTAACTGACACTAAGAGATTTTTGACATCTTTCTTGCACCTTCTAGGTTTTGAAATATAAGAGTACTGTGCTTCTATTAGATTAAGATATTCATATGGCTTGAAATTGTTGTAATATTTGCTTACTGGGGAATGCTCAACCTTTTTTTGCATGTGTAGGGTTTCTGCAATTGGAATGAGTAATTGAAGTTCCCTATATTCTTTTGGTATTTTATCCGATTCTGGAAGTTGGCATTTTTTTTTCTTATGAAGTCAAGTCATTTTGACATTATATCATATTATCAGTGTATCCTTTTTGCTACAAGAATATTGATGTAAGATTTGTGAGATGATTACTCTTTAAGCTATAAGAGTTGATTAATACAACTGATGGTACTGACGTGCCTCCCGAAAAGAAAAAAAAACAAGAAAAGCATTACGGTATTTCCTGGCAATAGCATCAGGGTTATAGGAAGATATGAATCTAATTCGTTCATGTATTGTTAAGAAATAAAAAAAAAATTGGTTAGTATTATAGCCAAGTGTACTCAAACAGCGGGAAAAGAAGCACTTTTATTGCCTTCAAGCTTTCAGAATTTTGAATTTCTGCATTTGAAATTATTGTTTTGCTTTTGTAATTATTCTGCATCTACTTGATGCCTTTCAATGATATCTCTTTTACTTAATCCAAAAAACAAAAAATATTGAGCAAATATGGTAGATAATCAAGAAAGGTCCTGAGATTTCTTCTCCACCATTTTCTGTCATTCTTAAGGCACCATAATAAATCATTTAATGTAACTGCATGTGCCCCTAAAAAGTGATCAATCTTGTGATTCACATGTAACTAACGTAGTGAAGGAATGATGCTAACGAAACAAAAGGATGCATGTATCAATTGAATGGACACCTTGAGACCCATCAATTAACATAATGTGGTAACTAATAAAATGTTAATTTCCTAGACTATCATATAAAGGCACCATTATATGCGAGTCAAAATCCTTCTGTATATTTAACCTGTATTTAGACTTTTTTGCCTCTGCAATGAGTAAATAAATTTTCTCATTGTCCGATTATCCAGGAGTGCCTCCTTTTCAGGTGAAAAAAGAGTGAACTCCCTTTACATTTTTGGTTTTCTTTTTTAACCTTTTTTTTTGCTTTTGATAATTAGATTTTAACTTTCATTTATCTGTTTTTTGTTACATTCTGCAGTTGATTATGTGATTCTTCTGCAATCTATATATTACTTCATCATTTTTGGGTATCTTGTGATTGTTCAAGTCGCAATTCCCATCTCTTTTTTCTGACTCTGGCAGACATCTATTTTACCTATTTTGATGTTATTGATGCTTTGCATAATAAACTTTTACAACTTTATAAATTCCATTTCATCCTCCTTTTTAATAAAAACCAACCGTACTCTTCGTAGAAACTAGTAATTTCGGGGCCAAATGAAGAATGAATTAGCTAGGATCCGTGGTATTCCGACTCAAGTCATGACTCGAATAACTCTTTGATTTTGATGAAATCTCTTCCCTCTATCTTCTTGTTTTTAGTTGGCTTTGGTTCTTTGTCGATCTTGTATGTCTTTGGTAGTTTTATAGTTGGTTTTGTTCATTGACGTTTTTAATGATAGTTGTTCTGTTTCTCTGTGTAAAGCAGGCTAGGTGTTTCAAGTCTGGACGTTTGAACATGGCAGCTCTAAAGGACCTGCTTCCACCAGCAAAATCTACTAGCAGTACACACTATGATCATACAAGTGACCCGTGGTTCAAGAACAGATATACTGCAAGTGAGGCAGAGAAGACAGCAGTCATCAAGGCAAATCCTGTTCCTCCTTATCTGAAAAGAGCTGGCTTTAGGCCATCTAAGCTCGAGGATTTTGGAGATGGAGGTGCATTCCCTGAAATTCACTATGCTCAGTATCCACTGGATATGGGCAGAAAGAAGGATTGGAAACCTGGGGGGAAGACCTTGCCTGTTACAGTGGATGAGCATGGTGATGTGAGGTATGATGCGATTGTGAGGCAGAATGAGAATTCAAAAAAAATTGTTTATTCTCAGCATAAGGATCTTATCCCAAAGTTTGTGAAGGATGAGGATGACGAAGACATGGATGGGGAAGAGAAGCAGAAAATAATTGAGGAGACCACCCAGGAGACCAAGGCTGCTCTTGAGAAGATTGTAAATGTTCGGTTGAGTGCTGCACAGCCCAAAAATGTTCCTACACAATCTCAAGACTCCAAGTTTATTAAGTACAAGCCCTCTCAGCAGTCGGCAGCATTTAACTCAGGTGCAAAAGAGAGGATTATTAGGATGGTGGAGATGCCTGTGGACCCTATGGAGCCACCAAAGTTCAAACACAAGAGGGTTCCAAAGGCCTCTGGTTCTCCACCTGTGCCAGTAATGCATTCTCCACCTCGTCCTGTTACAGTGAAGGACCAGCAGGATTGGAAGATACCTCCGTGTATATCAAACTGGAAGAACCCCAAAGGTTACACAATTCCTCTCGATAAGCGTCTGGCTGCTGATGGTAGGGGACTTCAGGAGGTGCAGATCAATGACAACTTTGCAAAACTATCAGAGGCTCTATATGTAGCAGAGCAGAAGGCCAGAGAAGCCGTTGCAATGAGGTCAAAGGTCCAGAAAGAGATGATGATGAAAGAGAAGGAAAAGAAGGAGATGGAACTTCGTGAGTTGGCCCGCAAGGCAAGATCTGAGAGAACTGGTGTGGCACCTCCAGCTGCTGAGAGGGGAACCATGAATGATGATGATATGAGTGTGGATTATGAGCGTGCCAGAGATTTTCCTAAAGAGTCAAGAGAAGACAGGGAAGCGCGATCACAGAGGGAGAAGATACGGGAGGAGCGGCGTCGGGAGAGGGAGAGGGAGAGAAGGTTGGAGGCCAAAGATGCTGCAATGGGTAAGAAGAGCAAGATTACCAGAGACAGAGACCGTGATGTCAGTGAAAAAGTGGCTCTTGGGATGGCATCTACTGGCACATCAAGAGGGGAGGTTATGTATGATCAGAGATTATTCAACCAGGAGAAAGGGATGGATTCTGGATTTGCCACTGATGACGCTTACAACGTCTATGATAAGGGCCTGTTTACTGCTCAGCCTACACTTTCTACTCTATACAGACCGAAGAAGGATGCTGATTCTGAAATGTATGGAGGTGCAGATGAGCAGCTGGAGAAGATCATGAAAACAGAACGCTTTAAACCTGACAAGGCATTTGCAGGAACATCAGAGAGAGCTGCTCCAAGAGATGGACCTGTACAATTCGAGAAGGAGGTTGAGGAAGCAGATCCATTTGGTTTGGATCAGTTCTTGACAGAGGTTAAGAAGGGGAAGAAAGCAATGGCGAGTGTTGGTAGTGGAGGAACTATGAAGGCTAGTGCTGGTACCACACGAGATGGCTATGAAACATCTAGCAGAACTCGTATTGCTTTTGACAAGGGGCGTTAAAGTAGCCTTCAGGTAGCAGGAAGTGCTGGCTGTGGACCCATGTTGGCTGCATCTACTATGCATGGTGTTTCATTCTGTACTATTTGCCAAGTAATTTCTCTTTGCATGAAAAAAATAGTAATTGCTGTCTTCATGCTCTTGTAAAACATCTTCTTTGTTACCCGTTACTGTTTGGCTTTAATTTATTCAGAATAATTCGTGTCTATCTTTTCTGAGTTTGCAACACAAGTATATTGTTGCTTTCACTCTTTAAAATTTTCATCGCTCCACTAAAAGAAGCGCCTTTGACCAGTTAGATGATGCTTTAACGGTATTCTGGTTTCAACTTTCAACCCATGTAGTTTATTTTCTTCTGCTGTTAGTCTCTTGCTATTCTGTAATATCTTTTGGTGAAAGGATTTTGTGTTCTGTGGCAGTTGCTATGTGTGTAGCAATCTCCAATTGTTAATAACATCTCGCTACTTCATATTGATTAAGATGATAAAGTTGAGAATGTTTCTATGGCAGCTTATGAAAGTCCAAACTGGAGTTTGACATGGTATATGATAAATGGCTCCTGCAATAGGTCCTCTCACCAGTTGAAGAAAACCCCAACTGGTGCTAAGAACTTGTAAAGCTGGAGGAGAATGTACAAAAATTCTAAATTACTTCTTGGTTTTGTTGGTGTAGTAAGAATGCCACTGGATATGCTACTAATCTATCTTTTTATTAGAATAATGATGCATGTCTGAGAGGATTAGGATCAGAACTAAACTTCTTTTCATCCATTTTGACATCCTTTTGCTTGTAATTATATCTGCATGTAGGATTAATAGGAGCAGATCTCCCAAGACCCTTTTTAAAACTGTACATTTGAAGTTGATCTCCTAAATGGATTAAGTAGGAAAAACGAAGAAGAGAGAACCGGGTCCAAGGTTTACGAGATCTTTATTACACTTGAATATCCGAAATTTTTAGTCTGACCATGAGATATTAATTTGCACAATTTTTTTCTTCTTTTTGTTCCAGTTTATACAACGACTTAGGTGTTGAAAATTCACAAAATGAAACGTGAAAACATCATTTCCAATTTAGAGAAATTCGTGGTCCAACAACGATCAAATAAATATATTTAGAGATGTAAAATCAGTTAGCAGCGATGTCGGAATGATCAGAGGCGGATTCAGGATTTATATTCTGTGGACTCAACTTAAAAGGTTTTTAACATTGAATCCATTGTATTTTTAAAGTTATGGGTTCAAACCTACCATTTGTTGCAATTTTTAATGAATTTTTGCACATAAATTTATGCTCAACGGCAAAGTACTAAGTTAATATGAACCCGACGAATATACTCTACATCCGCCTCTGTGAATGATGGAGCAGCTGGAGCTCATGCCATAACACGTTTTACAATATCTCATTGTTTCTTACAATTGGGATCAATTGTGCAGAGAATCCACATCAAAACACATGTGCAAACACTTGAATCAATTTGCTGAATATTTGGAGTCCAAAACTAACGTAAAATTGGACTCAAATTTAGGTATTTTCCCTATTTTTTTTCAGCCTAATTTAGGTAAAATTGGAGGGGTTCGCAAATCGCAATTGCGACATCAGAGACCAGTTAATTGAGACTTAGACGCATTTTCAGCCATTTTTACAACCTTTTCAAAACCTAAACACCTTTGGGTGATTTTTCGAAGACAACTACTCTTCCAAATCATTTGTAAGTCAATTCTAACTCATTTCTTTCAATCTAATTCATCTTTTTACATGATATCAACTCAAAATCAAGGATTTTCATGGGGGAAATTGGGTGTTTTGGGTAGCACTTAGGATTTTCGAATTTTGGAGATTTGGACCTCGATTTGAGGTCCAATTTAAAAAAAAATTATATATTTGAGTTCGTGGGTGAATGGGTAATCGGATTTTGGTTCGAACCTCGGGTTTTGACCATGTGGGCCCGGGGTCGATTTTTGACTTTTTGGGAAAAACTTTAGAAAATCTATTTTCATGCATTAAAATTGATTCATTTAGCATTTATTGATATAGTTAAGTAACTTGTGGCTAGATGCAAGCGAATTAGTGGTGGAATCAAGAGGTAAAGCGGTAGTTGAGGCTTGAATTGTGTTTGTGGCATCGAGGTAAGTGTTTGATCTAACCTTAGCTTGAGGGATTAGGAGTCGTGTCTTATTTGCTACATGTTAGGTGTTGAGTACGACGTATAGGCATGGTGACGAGTATCTATACGTTGGTGTCAAGCATGCCCGTGAGTCTTATACTATGATTAATGTGACTCTGTTTTGTATTGTTCATCCCTTATGTGATGATTTATATTGTTGAACGAGGCTTGTGGAAGTAATATTGGTAATTGAACCTTGAAGAGCGTTGGCTCAAGTTGTAAAATGATTTGTGGAGGTATTATTGGCAATTGAACGTTATAGAGCATTGGCTCAAGTTGTGGATTGAGTTGTGAAGTAAATGGGGAAAAGAGAAGAGGTTTATGATATTGTCTCCCTTGCCGGGATGTTGTTGCTTTTAATGTTATCTCCCTTGCCGGGATGTTATTGCTTTTGATATTGTTTCCCTTGCCGGGATATGATTGTGGTACTATTGTTCACTTGCCGGGATTTTATTGTGATTCTATTGATTCCTTGCCCTTATTGCTTTGTGATTTTTGTTTGGGTGAGGAAGAGTGTTAAAGCACGAAGGGTGATGCCGTGCATGATATTTGTGAGAGAGTGTTAAAGCACGAAGGTGATGCCGTGCCGCACGACGTACAATTCCGTGCCTTTATATGAGTGATAATGCACGAAGGATCATTCCGTGCCATGATTATGTGAGGTAAAAGCACGAAGGGTGATGCCGTGCCGATTATATTGATTTTTGGTGAGGACGAGAGTAAAAGCACGAAGGGTGATGCCATGCCGATTATATTGATTTTTGGTGAGGACGAGAGTAAAAGCACGAAGGGTGATGCCGTGCACTTGTCTTTGATTTCCTGATTTCTATTGATAATTGAGTTATGATGTTCTTTACGTTTATTTATTGGTTCTCTGTGGTTACTTGATTTTATTGTGATGTTATTGATTCCCTTGCCCAAATTGCTTCGTGATTGTTGCTTGGGTGAGGAAGAGTGTAAAGCACGAAGGATGATGCCGTACATGATATTTGTGAGAGAGTGTAAAGCACGAAGGGTGATGCCGTGCACTTGTCTTTGATTTCCTGATCCTTGCTGATAATTTAGTTATAGTGTTCTTTACATTTATCTATTGGATTTCTGTTGTTACTTGATATTTCCCCGCATCATGTTTCCCCTTCCCGTCTTTAACTACTAGTCTCTGTCAATATTACCTGCTGTATGTGATATAACTGCACAGGTTTAATTGGTAGTCTTGTCCTAGCCTCGTCACTACTTCGCCGAGGTTAGGCTAGACACTTACCAGCACATGGGGTCGGTTGTGCTGATACTACACTCTGCACTCTTTTGTGCAGATCCTAGTACTGGAGCATACGAACCTTAGCTTTGGGTTGCTGCCTTCAGTCCATTTGGAGACCCGAGGTAGTCCTGCATGCGTCCGCAGGCCTTGGAATCTCCTTCTATCCTTTCATTCTGTTTCTTTTATGTATTTCAGAGACATCGTTGTATTTATCTTTCGGACCCTTATTTGTAGTATTCCTAGACAGTCTGTGAAATTGTGATACCAGTTCTGGGTAGTTTATGTTATGGATTGGTATTGGTATCATTATTAAAATATTACATTTCAATCTTCCGCTTATTAAATTCCGCTGTTTATATAATGTTGGTTCTTAATTGTTAAAGGATTAAAATGGGAAAAAGGTAAATAATACAAATGGTTGGCTTGCCTAGCTTTCACTAGTAGGCGCCATCACGACCCCCGAGGGTGGGAAATCTGGGTCGTGACAAGTTGGTATCACAGCTCTAGGTTACTTAGGTCTCACAATTCACGGACAAGCTTAGTAGAGTCTGAGGGATCGGTACGGAGACGTCTGTATTTATCCCCCAGAGGCTACAAAGTTAGGAAAAACTTCACATCTATTCTTTCCTGGCGTGCGACTTGATTTCTCAATGCCAATTGAACTTCTACTCTTGTTCTTTCGCGAATGGCGAGGTAACGTACCGCTTCTTCAGCCGAGCAGCAGCACAGACCGGTGATGGATCAGCTACGTCTTCGGAGGCTTTGTGGAGATTGGACAGGTTCACCAAGCTCTTCACTACCACTTATAGCGATGCATCTTCTGAGGATCCCCAGGATTATTTAGACAGTTGTCATGAGGTTCTCAGGAACATGGGAATAGTGGAGACCAATGGGGTCGACTTTGCTGCTTTTCGTTTGTCTGGATCTGCCAAGGCTTGGTGGAGAGATTATTGTTTGGCTAGACCAACTGGGTCACCAGCTCTGATTTGGGATCAGTTTTCTCAGCTATTCCTGGAGAAGTTTCTTCCCGTCACACAGAGGGAGAGCTATCGGAGGCAGTTTGAGCGTCTCCGGCAGGGTTCTATGACTGTTACTCAGTACGAGACTAGGTTTATTGATTTGGCCCGTCATGCTTTTCTTATACTTCCCCCTGAGAGAGAGAGAGAGAGAGATGTAGTTCAGAGTGGTGGGGCCCAGCCCCGATGTTATGCTCTTCCAGCAGGCCTGAGGCTGAGGCTTCCGATGCAGTTATCACAGGTACTGTTCTGGTTTGTAGTAGAGATGCTTCAGTTCTATTTGATCCTGGATCTACATACTCCTATGTGTCATCTTATGTTGCACCGTATCTGGTCATGCCTAGTGATTCCTTGAGTGCTCCTGTATATGTGTCTACACCGGTGGGTAATTCTATTGTGGTAGATCGTGCCATCATTCCTGTATAGTTGTGATTGGGGTTCTTGAGACTCGAGTAGATTTGTTACTTTTGGATATGGTTGATTTTGATGTCATATTGGGGATGGACTGGTTATCACCTTACCACGCTATCTTGGACTGTCATGCCAAGACTGTGACCTTAGCCCTGGCGAGGTTGCCTCGTTTAGAGTGGAGAGGGACTCCTGGTCATTCTACCCATCGTGTTATCTCATATATAAAGGCTCGACGTATGGTTGAGAAGGGGTGTTTAGCCTATTTGGCATATGTTCGTGATTCTAGTGCCGAGGTTCCTTCTATAGATTATGTGCCTGTTGTTCGTGAGTTTCCTGAGGTTTTCCCTTCAGACCTGCCGGGTAAGCCACCCGACAGGGATATTGACTTCTGCATTGATTTGGCTACGGGCACTCAGCCCATTTCTATTCTGCCGTATCTTATGGCC